GTTTAACACAAAAGTGCCAAAAAACCGTGCCGTTAAGGGCTAATATGTTGTTCTAGGGTTAAATCCTTTTTTTAATAATTCTCGAAATATTCCCGTAGTACAACCGAGAATTAGTCGAAAATAAACAAAAATAAAAATTTTTTAGTTACAAAAAATGTACACTCTACACACGTCATTTGTGACCCAGAGGTGAACTTCGGAGTTATGTCAGTTAAAAGATACGTACGAATTAAGGCCGATAATGCACAAAACTTGTTCTCTAGACTTCTGTTAAACTTATTTTAAGAATAGAAAAGAGACCAGTATTTGATCAAGTGTTCTCAGTATTTCAAATAAAAGAAATGTACAGGACACGAATGACCCAAAGGTGTGTATTAAAGGCCAATTATACAGTAAATTAGGTGAAAGAAAATAACGTAAACAAATAAATATTTATATAATCTTGTGCGTATTTACAAATTACAGTTTCAGTAGTCTCTGGTCACTTTGTTATAAGAGAAACAAATAATGTAACTTACAACAGTTAAGATAAGATCTTTTAGATCTCATTTTGATAAATGTTTACCTTTACATAGCCAGCACCAAATGACTTTCAAATAACTTTCAAATAACTTCAAACAACTGACATTAACCTTCACTCTCAAAAAGATCGAGGTCATCAACCTTTTTCGTCGCTCGTTGTTCATTGACAAGTTATTAACAAAACAATTTTAATGAATAGTAGGATAATTTTTGAACATAAGATACATATTTCTGAACTCTCCCAGACAGAGAGGGGTGAGAAAGGGATGGACCTCGCATAGCATGGAAAATCGAACGCCCCTACATAGGAAAAAATTTGAAACAGCTGAGACTCATCAACGACGAAGCCATTCCAACTCATTACAAGCGATTGCATTGAATCCAGTGTGAAGCTGCCATGGCTCCAACTTGGCAATGACACGATTCAACTTTTCGCGAGTTCTTCTAATCATTTAATGAGGCGCGCATGCTCCACGGGCGCAACAGATAACGATACATATCGCATCGCACCACGTATTTTATTTGTATATGAATGAAAACCACAACACATCACTCTAAGCTGGACAGCTCCAGCGTGAACGCTACAAGGTCGGCATGCATCCGATTCATGCCAACTTCAAGGATACATTCCGAATGAAAATTTTTCATTTGGACAAGAGTGTCCATAGATAATGTGACGTCACACGTTTGGATGTTTTCATTCTGATCGAGTAGTTTTACTGTCTGTCAGGTGTACCTGACAGACAGTATGTACCCATACAGCGTAATGCAAGTGGCCGAATTTACACAAATTTATTATAATATAATGGCATTATTTAATTGTTCAGATTATCAATATTAATAACATAAAATAAATTAATATAATTGTTATGTTGTTTGTGTTTTGAGTAACTCTCATTGATAAAATTCATATATGTATTACCGCTTTACATTAATATATTATTATACAGAAAAAATAATGTAAATAAAAAATGTATATAATCACTTACAAAGTTCAAACCTTTTTTTTTCTCCTCTTAAATAGTGACACGTACTGTCTCGACTTTTCCTCGTTTTATAATAATAAATAAAATAACCTCATATCACTTGACAAATGACAAATCTATCATATAGCTCTTATAGGTTGCATAGTATAGATAGGCTTTACTGTGTATGAAGAGCGAATTCACCTCAGTCTCAAGTGCGGCGAAAAGTTGTTGTCCGGACGTTCTTCTAAACCCATTCTGAACGGCGCTAAATCAACGTCTGAAAATCGCCCAGTAAAACCGAACGCTTCTGAGTAAAAAGTTGTCATCTGGACGTTTATTCGGAACGCACCCCAGTTTAGAGTTCCTCCTTCTCTTCGTTTGTTTTGTACGGGTTCGATCACTCATTGAACTGAACTCGCTCGAACATTGGTACTGTCAGAGTTCCAAATATTGTCCCGTGTAGACAGAAAAAGGGATGAGCTAGATCTCACTTCCCATAGAAAGTTGAATGCCCCTGGGCAGGGGAGGGGGAAATGGGGTAGACCTTGCTTCGCGTGGAAAGTCAAACGCCTCTCGACAGGGGGGAAGGTGAAATCGACATCGCTTCGCGTGGGAAATCAGACGCTTCTAAGCAGAAGGGAAGGTGGGGTGGATCCCGTTTTGCATGAAAAGTCGAACTCCCTAAGGAAGAGAGGAAAGGTGGGGTGCTTCGCGTAGAAAGTCGAACATCCCTAGTCTGGGTGGGGGGTGGACCTTGCTTTAAGTAAAATGTCTGCTTTATCCCATTTTAGCATAAGAGAAAAGCATTATGTAAATTGTAACAGAGTACATGTAGAATATATAGTAAAATATATACTTTATGCCCAAAAATTATATACTATTGCTTTGTTTATATAAAATTGCTTTGTTAATTACTTTTCAATGAACAATAAGTGACAAAAAAGGTTGATGACTTTGACCTCCTTGATGGTCAAGGTCAATGTCAAAGTCATTTGAGTCATTTTAAGCTAGATGTGTAAAGGTAAATATTTACTCTCATTTTTATTATTGATATTTGGTAATCGTGCCTTTTACAACATAATGACTGCAAAATATGGATTCCAGTAAACATGCAATATAATCAGAAAGTTTTATCTCATTTTCTCATAAACATTTCGTTGTATCTTTCGGTCCAACAAAGGAAATTTTCTGGATTCTCTCAATCCGCCTAAACAGTTAAGACCCATGAAAAGCGCAGATTGGTAGATCACGAAGGACTTTTGAAAGACATTCATTTGTAGTATTTTTTTATCAACACTTTATTACAAAATTATTTCCCCTTTTACAAATTTTATTTCCTGTTATGATAATTTAGTTACTATATAATTGATCCCCGTATAGCTATGATAATACTGTTACTTAAAGACACGTTATCTTGTTACTTCTTGCACTCGCGATATTTATTGTTAGTAACCGATCATTGTCATCAAGTTATATGATACTGGATACTCGCGTAGCGCATAACATGTTGATTAAATTCACTGTACGAAATCCCGCTGCCCGCGATTAGGCAGCCGAATATAAAGGACCGCAGTGTCGTGTTACTGCGCATTTTGACAATCGGTATGACCAATGACCATATATTAATCATGCCCGATAACGGACTTTATCCACGCGTGGATTGTTGAACTTGCAGTCTTGCATTTCCGTGGCTCATTGTCATACTGAAATGTAAGACTTAAACGTGGTAGCAATTTTGCATTTCCGCGAGCTCGATCGTTGCTATGCCAAAATATAAGACTTAATCATGGTAGCTTTCGGGCTACA